TGTGAGAACGGAGTTCTGCTGAACGGCTTTGTAAGGATGGAGCCCCAGATTCCTCATCCAGTGTGGACTGATACAAAAAGCACCACCACCTCCAGGGCTAGGTTCTCTCACGTTCTGGAGAAGATACTTGCTAAAAGCTCCTTCTCACGACTCGATGGCACATAACAACAACAACAACAACGTTTTGCCCCACAAACTTGTCCTGGAACCTTCCTGTTTCACCTTTCTCTTCTTTGACCACTAGATGGCACATTTTACCTCTCTTCATTGAAGTTCTGGAGGGCCAGTTCTCCAACAGGACACACTGCTTGAGAGCCCCAATATGCTGAGCGGAAAATGCTTTCCCCTTACCCTGCTCCCCACAACCATTTTTTTAAGTACTTGCATCACCTGAGAATAGAGGTGCCTTCAAGAAAGAACAGTTTTCAACTAATACTAGCAGGGTAACTTAATATTAAAAAGAGGGACCAGTACCTGGAGAAGTCCAACATGTTTGTTACAGGGTCAGCAAAAAAGAGGAAGATGGTCAAAGAGATGGACTGGTAACAGTGGCTGCAACAATTGTGAGGATGGTATAGGACCGGGCAGTGTTCCATTCTATCATACATGGGGTCACTGTGAGTCAGAACTCGATGGCAACTAACAACGACGCTATCTCATCAGTGGCTCTTTATTTGAAAAGAGTAACCTGGGAATGACAGCAAGAACCCCACGGCATCCTTCTACAGGGCCTTCTGCAAAACTAAAGCTAACCTTACCTTGACTCAAATATGCAATCTTTTCAGATTCCTGCTCTAAAGTCAGCAGCTGGGGTATGAAATCTTTGGGGCAGTCTCAGGGTGGGACCACACACTGACTTTAAAGCAGTAATTACAGAGACAAATGGCTTCCCCAATGAAATAAAACACAGAATTTATGTTGACTGTTAGTACGATTTGTTCATTAGCCTGATAGTGCTACAGCCTGTTGTTATGCCCATTGTCAGAGCCAGCTATCCCGGATATTGATGTCACACCACAGGCAATGTCAGTACAGGATGTTGCATTCCTATGTTCCTATGGGGATCGAGTTGAAAGAATTATTTAGAGATTCCCAAAGAAATGGGAATTACAGTAGACATGACTTTGCAGAGTCAGAAAGAGTCATCGTGCTGGAAAGAAGACTCCTCACTTGGGCAATGCTATTTGCTTCAGGGGGAACTTGACCAGTTTGGTTCAAGAGCGAACAGTAAAGGGCTGGAAGAGCTTGTTTGATAAAGACCTTTAGCTTTACTAAATCTTTAGTGGTGCTGTTGTTCGAATAATGAAAAATGAGAAATTGTTTCCTTTTTTCTTTATCTTGTTTATCCCCCTCTTACCCTCAGAAATATCAGTGTATGATCATGAACAGCCAAGGCAAAGGTTAATGTTATCATTCACCTTCCTACATAAACAGAACAATTTAATCCAATTTCCCTAGAGCACTCAGAAAGTAGAGAGATGTCTCATTAACAAGCTCCTCTCGAGGTGCTGAGGTAATGCTACTCATTTTAGAGGATGGACAGACAGCATTTCTCTGAGGGGAACCTGTACACAGCATTACACAGTTTAAAAATGCTTCCCCCTACATTGTAGCATTTGATTTAAAACCTCTGTTCAAAGAGGTGTGATTATTTCTGTTTATCCATTAGGAAACTGAGGCACAGACAGGATATATGACTTCACCAATGTTCCAGCATTAGCAGGTGGCAAAGAGAATTCTAGACTAGGACTCTTGACTTTCCACTCAACCACACTGTATCTCACAATAGAGACTTGTACTACAGACAAGAAACCCACATTTTAAAGTCGAGAGCCTCAAAGTCAATGAAGTTAGCTCTGCTCACCAAATAAAGCCAAAAGGCTTCCTGATACACTGAAATCAAGAATAATAAACATACACCTCTTAGTAATAATTTTAAGTAATAAACTGTATCTGATTGTGCCCAAACTACAACATATCAATTAATTAGTATTAGAAGAGTCTAAGACCATTTGAAAAAGACAAAGCTAGCTAAAACAATTAACACAACAATTAGACGTAAACTTTTAATTCAAGAGCCTAACTAGCCAGACCTCAGGTGTGTACATCACGGAGCTAGCAGACAAAGAGGCTGAAATGAGGTGCCAGAACAAGCTCATGTTCCCAATTATACTCACAAGAGATTTCTTTTCCTTCTTGTAAGAGTTCTAGTAGCACAGTGCCTAAGGCATCTGACTGTTAATCAGAAAGTTGGTGGCTCAAACCCACCAGCTACTCTGTGGAAGCAAGACTGGGCAATCTACTCCTGTAAGGATCTACCACCTTGGAAACCCAATGAGGCTCACTATGAGTTGAAATCAACTCAATGGCAGTGGGTTTGTTTTTTGGTTTTTTTGGTCTTATATCTCAGAAAGTAAAGACGACAAATGCTTTTGCTTGGTTCCTCCTTATTCGAACAACAAGGATTAAGTGGAGCTGGGTTCAAGAGGTCTTTCTTCTATTTGATCCACAGAAGAATTCTACAAGATGGTCAAGTGTCACAATACACAGTACATTGTTGGTTTAATAGTAATGAAATAGGAGGATAACATCCTATGTTTAAAATTTTTGTAATATATGGTCCAAAACAACAAACAGATAACCATCATACATTCTGCAATAGGTGAGGATGTCAGTCAGTAGGGGCATATAAAATTGTACTCTTGAGCTCCAAATGACTAAGTCAGCAGCATTAGCAAATTCTAAGAAGGGAGAATTCAGAGGCTATAATGGGCTTAGTATTGCTATTTAAAGTAATGAAGCATTTTCTCTGCTTTCTGGATTCATTTCACCAAACTATTTCCTCAGCAGGTCAGATATAGATTTGCAAAGTGGAAAACATTTTCCAGGAATGAAACATCTGATTCCTGAGGAGCAGTGACTTAACTTTCTGAATAAACCTTGGGCTGGCATACCTAGATTCCTCAGTGCTGTGACTGATGTTCTCAACCTCCTCCAAACCTTGCCAGACCCTTACACCTCACGCTTTTGAGAGGGAATTGCTGAACGCGCTCTGAGCAAGTTCCTTCACTTTGTGCCTTAGTTTCTGTGGCTCTAAAATGGTGTCACAATAGTATTACTTGCCTCATGGAGTTGTTAATGAGATTAAATGAACAAAGTGCTTAAAAAGGCACAGAGGAAGCACGCAAACCTGAGCTATTACAATAATTATCGCTGTTATACAACAACACTGGTATCACCAATGAGCACTTTGTTTACTTTTTCTTCTTGCAAGTAAAGCTTTAGTTCAGAAAAATCTCTTATAGCATGAAGAGGAAACAAACATTTTAAGATTTGGTCTCCGAATGAGAACTAAATGAAGCTACTGCATTTTATCTAGTACTTTAAATGCCTTCCAAAGCATTTTACATTTAATTCATTTGGATCTTCTAATAAAACTGTGAAAGAAGCATAATATCAATTTTTTATCAACTAAATACAAAAATGCAATGAAGAAGCCCGGAGTGATGCATTCTTAATGATTAGACTGCTACCAAACGCAGAGAGGCCCAAATGCGAGGGTTTATGGCTCTCAAGCCAGAGGTCTTTCAACTATGCAAGGTAAGATATTATAAGATCCCTTTGGTGTAAGCGAAACCATTTTTATAATTAATTAATACTAACCATAATTCACACATTATTAGACTACCTTTTTTAAAATTTTTTAAACCAAATGTCCTTTTTCTGATCCAGGATCATCCCAGACACATTATCTTTATTTTTTTTAACTTTTTTTTTATTTATTGTGATTTGGGTGAAGATTTACAGAGCAAATTCACTTTCTATACAGCAGTTCACATATACTTTGTCTCATGTCATTGACCTCAGTTTACCACAATGCAACAGCTCCCCTCCCACTTCCTCCCCACAGTTACCACTTCCCAGTGTCCATCCCTCCATACTCTCCTGCCCCCTGAGCTGTCTCCCTGTGCATAAGCAGCCCTTCCTTCTCCCATGATTGTTCTCTCCAGGGCGTGCCAGACCCATTATCTTTAGTTGTCATACCTCCTTAGGCTCCTCAGGGATGTGACAGTTTCTTAGACTTTCTTTGCTCCGGGTAACTTTGACAGTTTTACAGAGTGCTGGTTGGCTATTCTGTAGACTGTCCCTCAGTTGGGATTTGTCTGTTTTTCTCATGATCAGACTGGACTGAGGTCAAGTGCCATTCTCATTACATCCTATCAAGGGTACAGACCATCAACATGATTTATCAGTGATGCCATTAGCCCTGAGCACCTGGCTGAGGTAGTGTTTGTTAGGTCTCCATTGTAAGGTTACTCTCTCCACCCCCTTTCTATACTGTCCTCTTTGGAAGGAATCACTAGGTGCAGCCCACACTTAAAGGTGGAGGAGTTACGCCCACTTCCTTGAGTGCAGAGTAGCTATATAAATTTGGAATTCTGTCCAGGAGATATCTCTTCTCCATTTATTTATTTATTCTATCATTTATTTATATCAGTAGGGTCTCTGGATATTTATTTTGTATTTGGGTTATAATCCAATAGTACTTCATTATTTTGTTGCAGCAATAGTTCCATCTTTGAACATTGTGGATTCTTTTGGTTAACCCTCTGCCCCTCTGACATATCCCCAATCACTGGGACCTATTTTTTTTTTAGCACTTCTTCCTTACTGTATGCTCTTGGCCATCTTTTATATTTCCTATCCAAGTCCTAGAATCTGGGTGCTACATATGCTCCCATACTGGTTATTTTTTAACCATATAACTGCTAATAATGATGCTTCACTCTGCTTGCACTGATGATACGAACTGGCAACTTGAGCAGAAGAACTCAGTTCTGAAGAACAGCAAATCCTTGTTATACTTTTTCTTTCAAAGAATAGATAAACCTAAGCTAAAAAATATATGAAAGACTTTTCACTACAAATTAAGTTTAGACAAACCATCTGGTTTGCTGTACTGAACTGTACAGGGTTACAACAGAACTGCAGAAGGATCCTTAGAACAAGAGAGTCATCTGTCGGGGGTCATCAGGGAGAATACTGATCGTATCTTCGGCTTTGCCACATAACAGACACAGCATGGTATACTCCTAGAACAAGACAAAGTGTACAATTACCTTGAGGAACAGGGAGAAAGGTGCTTCATAAGTTACTCAGTTTGGTATGAGTATGAAGCTGTTTTTTGCAAATGGCCGTGGACATTCTTTCTGTACATTAAACCAACTTCTTCAACATCTATCACAATAGCTTAGGTTTATTCTGTGTATCCCAAAGCCTGTTGTTGATACAAATCAAATAACATGCTGATGATCTATTTACCATGAATACAAGAATGTCATCTTGAAAATGCCTGGGTATTTCACGAACTTAAAAAACACATACAGTGGGCTTACAGCTACTATTTGAAGTAATGAAGTAATTTGCGTATGGGTCCCTAATGAAAAATTCCTCTTCTTAAAACTGTTACTTTTTAGGATACTTAACACTAACATGCAACAGAAATTATTTTAAAAACAAAACAAGGGGAAAATTCCCAAGTCCAAAAAGCTATTCTTATCTACTCTAGGAAAAGAAACAATTTTGTTAAATCTACTATTATGTCATGCCTCATGTTTAGATTCAGGCAGCTGGTTGTCTGGAACTGGATCCATTTAAGGAGTTTTATATTTTTTGGGCTTAACGAATATCTAGGCTAGTGACAGAAAGAATTTTAGTTTAGGCAAAGATCCTTAGGGCAAAGTTCTGTTCTTATGGAATATTTAATGTAGTCATAAACTATAGAAACCTATTTCTTTTAAATATTTTGTTTAAAAGTAGGTTATCTTCTTTAGGAAAACAAAAATCTATGTGAAATCTGTTAGTATTTCAACACCTGACACTTAGATTGCTTGCTGTCTAGAAATTCTTAGTCACTGGAGAGGTCACACAGGTAAATAATGACTATGGTACAAAGCCTCAGAACTAGGTAACTGCCTTTCCCTTTGCTACTAGGGAATTCAGCAGGGGAGCTAAGCTGAGACAGTGGAAAGACTGCTTCTTAAAGACTACACTTAATTTGAAAGTCTACTCTATACACAAAGTGGAAGTAAATGAAGGCTAGTGCTCCGAGAACAAATACCAGCCTCATGAATTAAAAATAAAAACCTAGCCTCTGCAAGATCTTTTACTGCTGTTAAATATTTCTACTGCCTTCAGCCATCAGACATCACTGGTAGGATAGAAATGAAGAAGAAAAAGTGGAGGACTCAAGAAGGAGAATGTGTGATGCCAGACAAATGTCTGATTTCAACCAGTCTATCCACTGACACATTTTTACTGAGTGCTACATGCTCTGCAATGTGCTAGGTGCGGTGGGAGACATGAATGAAGAAAAGGATAGGTCACTGACTTTTATGAAACTTACAACCTAATTTGGGAGAAAAAAATCCAAACCCTAAGGTATGATATAATCAGAAAGAGCATTAAATCAGTGAAACTGACTGCACCTGTATCATTTATAGGTGGGTTAGAATTCAAATTTCACTGAAGGCATTTATTTGGAACCCACAGAAGCAATGTTACAAGCAACACATGGCAGTTAGGCTGCCAGGCAAATCCACAAGTGCTTTAAATTCATACTATACAAGTACTCTACAGACTCTAACCATACACAGCAGTGCTACTGTGGGAAAATATGTCTAGAATTCTAACTTGAGATGCCAAGAATACATCTCTGTGCGCTGCCAGGAACATGGTGGGATCAAAACACCCTTTTCTAAAACCCACCAAGTAGGGATAATGAGAATTCTGCTCCCTTCCCCCATCACTCATGGGGACCCACAAGACTCTAGCTGGCCAAGGACTGGAGATTTAGAAGGGAGGAATGATGAGTTCCTAAGGTGGAGTATGGGGAATCACCTTTGAGGAATGAAATAAAGTATTTTATTTTATTCTGAGGGCCCCTCGGAATTTCCTCTGAGGTAGTTAGTAATAACCTGTTAGTTCCAACCCAAGTCCTCTCCTTCCCTGGCCCACAGAGGAAGACAGAACAGTCTCACAGCTCTCCTTCTTGAAACAAGCACACAGTCTTCTTAAGGGCTACCTCTAATCATTTACAGCATGTTTTTTACTTAACTGTGTACTGCATCTCTACCTTACTCTCTAGTCTTCCCATCAGAAAATCTTATCTTGGTTAAAAATGGTATTATGGGGTTTTAAAAACAGAATCCTTATCATTCTAAGATACATACTGATATATTTACAGAAGTAGAGATATGTTTGAGATTTGCTTCAAAATAATCCTGTGGTAGGGTCAAACTTAAGGGCCCTAATATTTGGTATAAATAGACTACCAAGCATAATTCAAAATGCACCAACAGCAGAAGAAAAGCCAGATGATTGGGACCTTCTAAAAATTAAATGTTTATGTGCTTCCAAAGACTTCTCCAAAAGAGTCAAAAGAGAACCTACAGATTGGGAAAAAATAT